AGTTGTTTTTGTTTTTGCTGTCATTATGGAGCTACCTTAATACAAAGTCAGTCTGAAATAGAGGGACATTACGTTGCAAGGGGTAATTCTGCTTCCTGTGGATTTGGTGGGGTAACAATTCAGCTCTGGTTACTTACTATATGGAAGAAACATATAAAGGAAAACTAAGTTAGAATTGATTTAGGATGGTGTTCACAGGGACCGGCGATGCAGAAGGGTAAGGGAGACCCTATTACTGAGTCACGAGGTTCAGAGTAGAATCCTTGGCTTTCTAAACTACTGATGGAGTTCAGGTGAGGCTAGACCCAAACTTAGTCCCAGACTTGCTCAGTGGTTTATGTTTAATAGAAAGGACGCAAAGGGTAAGCATAACCTCCCATTGAATCACAAGGTTCAGACTGGACCCCCTTGCTTTCTGAACTCTCTCTCAGGGAGAGGTCTAGGTGCATCTGGATCCAGACATAGTCCCGGACTTGGTCAATGGTTTGTGCGTAAAGGATTTAGACACATGCATTTCATTAGTATTAATTCGGTGTGCTATCAGTCACTTACCGAGAATCTGTTGTAAGGGCTCTCCCCACCACTTTGGTTAAGGAAGGATCTCTTAGTGTCAGGTAAAGAATCTCAAACTTCGGGAGGCAACCCTGCTCAAGAGGAGAGTCGCTTAGTGTGCAGTTAAGTTGCTGTCCAGGGAGAACGCAAATTGGGTCATCCAGTGGTCTGTTGTTGGTGAAGGATCTCATTGCTTTGAGGAACACCCTTTAGAGGTGTTTCAGTTCAAGGGGAGGTTGCTGCCATGCAGCCACACTGCCTAGCAGGGAGAGCTCAAAGGAGGCTCACTTTTGCTGTCATATTTATGGGATAAAGTGGTTGGCTCATAGTCAAATTGCATATAATAGGAAAGGTATACACGAGACTCCTTGTACCCACAACTTCCGTTGTTCCTTAATAAATGAGTCTTGGAGGAGCCATGCAGAGGTTCATGCATTAATTGTGTGATCAGTATATCATTCATACGTATGTGTGCACACTGGGTCACTCTGCTCCTTTGTGGGTTTCCTAGAGGAGTTCTTGTCCCATTTGCAGCTCAGGCCTTTACCTCCTTTGGAGCCTGTACCAAACTACTGTGAGTTTGATTAAGCAAGAATCCAGTGGATCTGTCACACCCTTTGACTTCACCCTTGGTGCCACTTGTTGAGGCCTCCTCTGGCTCCACGTGCCCAGTTTTGCCTCTCCTTGTGGGAGCTGTCAGCTGGGGAGAGGACCAACATGGGGCAAATCTACTAGACTATCTTGTCACAGTGGCTACAGAAATCCTCAAAAGTAAAAATAAAAATGCACTGAGATGCAGAAAAATGCAAGACACTCCATCGCAGACGGGTTATGCCAGTCTGGCAGTACTGACTGGTGGCTGAGATCTTTTTCTGCTGCCTGGTGCCCCGGTATTGAGTTGGCCCTGCTGGTTAGATATCCTACGGACATTTCACAGGTGGCATCTGTGATTTTCAAAATTTGAGTAGGTGTCAGGTAGTATTTTAAAGCACTGACTGAAAGAAAGAATCCTATTAGTACTTTTTGACATATTAAGTACATAACCCTGGAATTATTTAAAAAACTACTTGTAATTTTAATTGGCATATTCTCTCCTGTTTCTTTGCTTTACATCTTTAGAGAGTCTTTCAACAGATGAAATCTAATTTTTAGTGCCATTATTCTTGTTAAGCATCTCCTCTGTGAGGTACTCATTTATTGTTGAAGCAGTTGGTAAAAATGAAGGTCTTTCTAAAGGTTGTGTCCAATCTTATTTTATATGCTTGCTTGTTTTAATGAATTTACTACATATGTCTAAAGCAAAGTTATTGTTAAAACATTAACGTGCAGCACATTCCTCCATAAATGTTACAGCTTATGGCTGTGAAGACTGAGCTACAGTTGCAGCCCTAATAGCGGATTTTGGAGACGCTCTTGGAAGATGACTGTTCCAAGTTCTTACTATTTTGTCCTTTCCATCACTTCATGTGGCATTCAGTGACAGACATAGGTTTACTACTTTAGTTACTTTGCCCCTTATTCATCTGCTACTTTTCTGAAAGTATAGCAACAGAAATGATAGCAAATGAAATCATTATGGAAGGAGCTATACTAGTTCAAAGAACTACATCAGAGCTTTAAAAATGAAAATGACTAGATAAGACATTCTGTAGTTTTCTTTGTTCTGTGATTTAGATGTATATATTGCAATGATTTTGTCCTTTTTTAGTACCTCATTGCTGTTACAGTTTAATTGGTGTTTTTCTCCCTCCTTATTATCGTTAGTGGAGGAATATAGCTCTATCTTTCATCTGTTCAGCTCAACAAAGCTGGAAACGGATATTTTGTTAAATGTAATTCCTTTTTGTAAATTCATTTCTATCTGCATTGCTCTGTGACCTTTTCATCCACACCAAGAACACTTCTGAAGGCTGCAGAATGTGAAAGTACAGCCCATGCCTTTGACGTTGAGTTAATTTTAAAAGGAAAACAATAATGAATACCTTATCAAACAATAGAATATATCATTATTGCTGATTGTTACCCAAGGAAACTTTGTTAGATGTAATTAAGTTAAAATCTGTATGTTTTCTTAAGAGAAATAGGCCCTCAACATTGCTGTTTCTTCTCCTTTCACAGTTTACAACCTGGATGAGTAGGCTGGGCTCTGAGATTATGGGGTCTTTTCCCCATGTTTTGTTCCAGCTGTTTCTTCTACGAGGGTGGCACTGTTGGAGGTGCCAGCATCTGATGGAGCAGCTCTCTGCTGCTCCTTGCTCTGTGGGACAGGGGCTGCTGCAAGGAAGCGCTTCCCCACAGCCTCCTGAGTCTCTTCCTGTCTTCTGTCATGTCTTCAGCCAAAAACATTGGAACATGTGTTCTGTAATAAATAAACGACAGGAGGGTTGAGAGAAGTGTCCTCTAAAATAGTGTGATAATTTAAGATTACTTAGAAACTTCAGTTAATACAGAACACAGTTTATGTATTTGCTTAGCTAGGCTAATCATGGGGAACTCCTTAAATCAATGTGCCTAAACCAGCCTGTTTCATGTCCTTAATATTTCATGGGTTTCTGAATGGGTCCAGTTTTTCAGCTGCTCCTTAGCAGATTTGGTCTCATGTTTTTGAGAGAAGAACACTGTGTTGCAGTTCAGTTTGTTGGAAGCTTGCTTGAGACTTGTTTCTTGAAGAATGTTCTGTGAACCCTACCCATCGTATGAAATGAAGGGGGAATGCAAAAGCTTTCTCACCCTAAGCAGTGGTTACTGACTGAGGTCCAGCTCCTGTTACTCTGTTTATACTGTGTAGTGGCTGTAGTGTAACAAAAATACTTGTGGAATAAAGTGCTGCCCAGGGTTTAAAGACTTTTGCTAGAAATGAGGAGGAAACCAAGGAGAAATACAAGGGAGTCCAAGTTGTGGACCCACAACAAGAGTAGTATCTGGCTGTTGTGGTGGTGTTACAGTGATTGGTACAATGTTTTTGATTTAAAAAAAACAAAGTAAATGTGATTATTTTTCATGCAGCAGAGTTAACTAGCTAAGCATTTTTACCTCAAGCTTTCAATAAAAAGCTTCCAGACAACCCAAGTTTACTTCTGCTTGGTTTGCATCTTTTTCTGTTAGCTGTGAGTGAACAAATACCAGTCTTTTTTTGTGAAAATCCCAGACTTCCCAAGAGTATTAATAGTTACTTGCAGATTTCAGGAGTGGGACCTAGGTTACAAATTAGACTTTAGAAAACAAGGTCAAGCACTGAGGAATCTACCTATTTGAATTTCAAAACATAATACTTGGAGGAAAAGTTTGCAGTCTGCAGAGTCTGAGGCTTAGAAAGTGTTTGTTAAAAAGTTCAGAAAGTGTAAATTTGAAAACTGTAAGCTTTTGCTTATAGTTCAAAAACCAAAGACAAAGCTAATTTTGCTGCAGATTATTTCAGCTGCTAGGCATAGTGCAGAAGTTGTTCAGAAAGAAGATGTACGTGTCAGATTTCAGATGGCACAAAGAGTAAATTAGGTTCCACACGACAGATTCAAACATTGCTGGGTTTTTAAGAAGTGGAAAGGAAGAATTTGGTGGTAGTCACAACTGACTGCTAGAAACATCTGCAGTTCAGTGCAGGTGATGCCATCTTTGTGGAAGTGGCAAGCAGGCGGCCAAAGCCAAGTGTCAGTGGCAAGTGTTACCTACTTCTGTTGCTTGTGCAAATTATTTGGGATCAACTCTTACCACAGAAGAGGATGCCCAAATCCACTATTTCTGACGTTAAATACTCTCTCCTCGCCTTTCGCTGTTCTGAAACAGAGAGATCCAGTAAAATAAAGCAGTGTGTTTTTCTGGTGTATACGTGCTTCTCAACATGTAAATAAATTTTACAACTGCAAATCAAAATTTAGTGAAACTGTATGGAAACAGACAACGTGTATTTGGGTGTCCCGAGTCAGAAGGTGAAAATGAAAGATAGTTTCAAATTCATGTTGCAATTTCAATTTGAACTTGGGTGAAGCATTCACATCAGCATGTTATCTGATATTAAGGAAAAGCTGTTCTATTAATCATTGCTTAATGTATTTATTGTAGACATGCACTCATGTCTTGCCTTCCTTAGAGCAGATGTTTTTCTTAGGTGTACTTGAGGCATGTTTTCCCCACATCGGTTTATTTTCACTTTGAAATTTTCCATTTTTCTCTAATACTGCCTCATTAATAGCCTTCTAAGTATATAAAATAGGTATGATTTTTTAAGGCTTTCAAAAGATTTCTCATTGCGTTTATTATATTAGTGTATATTTTCCGTTTTGTCATCAGTTGTCCACATTGCCAGTGTGCTGAAGGAAGCATCTGATACTAATTTATGAAGTACATTTGAAGAAATGTGTGGTAATAAATCATCAAGTCACTTAGAGCATTTTCAGATAAAATTCTTACTTTTAAATTTTTCTTCTTCTTCTTATTATTATTTTTTAGTACATGCATCATGAATGAATCTGCCTCTAGTGGAAATGGTCAAGAGTTTGATGTGTTCAGTGCTATGGACTGGAAGGATGGCATAGGTACTTTACCAGGAAGTGACCTAAAGGTAAGATATGTAACTTTTTTAATAAGCAAAGTAAAAACTTTAAATGCCAAAAGAATGCATTTCACAAGCTGGTGTGTAGGTATCTGCTTTTATGAATAAAACATGGCTCTGCAGCTCTGAGTTAAGAGACTGTAGCCTGTTAGCTTTTAGCTCTGGAGTTTCTTGATTCAGTTTTTGGTGCTGGCACAGACAGCCGTCATCCCTGTAGCAAGGCATAAATTAGCACTGCCTCACTATGTAGATAGACAGAAGTAATCAAGTGCACAAAATCCAAAAGAATTCTCAAAAATTAAGTGTGGAAATTGAGTCCTCTTAGAGCATTATATTGCTGTTTCACTGAGAATCTTTATACTGCCATTGACTCTCACCATCTCATATTCTTAGCTCTTTTTATTTCTAAAAATAGTTTATTTTTGCTGTGCTTTCGTCATGTGGGTGCCTAGAAAAATTAATAAATTGAAGTGCTTCTGAGCTTGGTATAGTTCAGAGATTTGAATGATACAGGAATAGTACTTCTAATTACATTTTGCTCTGGTTGTATTTACTGAAGTTATAACATTTTGTTTTTGTTTTCAAAATATTTTATGTGTTTTTTAATTTATCTGATACTTTTTACTGTGTCATCAGAAAATGTCCTCTGCTGCGTTAGCTAAAAATACTGGTTTGATATCTAGAGATTTTCCTGCACTTATTTCCTGTTGATTACAGTAAATATTTTTATATCACTCCATATAGACAAACATTGATGAGATTTTCTCATAGTTTATTTTTTAAAAGAAATCACAAGAAAATGTGGGTTTTTTTTTCCAAAAAGACTTTATATCCTTCAGTGCCTGGTGCAATTTGTACTGTTGAAGTAAAGACTGAAAAACCAAAATGTTAAATAGCAACCCTGCCTTCAGTTTGTCAGCCACTCTCTCTAATTTGGTAATTTGCTTTTGCTGCCTGTACACATATAGAAGCCTTCCTTGTTGCCTTTGCTAGTTTCTTCTCCAGATGAGCTTTGGGTTTCTTGATTCCATCGTTGTACACTACAGCAGTGTCACTGTATACCTTCTCTATGTATTTTCCTCTATTTCATCTTCTGATTACTTCCTTTTCCATTTGCAGTAACCCAGGAGTCCCTAGTTCATTCATGTTGGCCTTCATCCACATTAGCTTAACCTCTTGCACATTGGCATGCACCATTCTGCTGGTCTAAAGGCTCTAGAGAGATATCCAGATTTCCTGGACCTGTTTACACTTTAAAGCAGGCTCCTGTATGATTCTGCCAAGTCTCTAAACAAGCCAAAATCTGCCTCTCACGAAGTCAAGTGTTGCTGTTTCACTATTTAACTCGCTTCTTTCAGGATTTCAGACTTCACCATCTCAAGGTTGCTGCTGCCGAAGATCATCAACCTTCACATCCCTGACCAGTTCTATATTCTTTTTTAAAAGTCCAGGCTTTTAAAATTCTTTTCTATTTTAACAAGTAACCTTGTGTGAAAGGCAAACATAATATTGAAATGTCTGAGGAATACAAAAGGGAAATGCAGGGAAGTACAATAATCCTGTATAAATCACTGGTATGTGCTTTGTTCAGTTCTGGTTAACCTATGTCAGAAGGAACAAAACTGAATCCAAGGTTGTGTCATTAACTGGTGGAGGAATGGGAAAGCTTCCATACATAGTGAGGGAAGGGACTGGGAGGTGTAGCTGAGTGTGACTTCAAGAAGTCAGGTAAGAGGATTCTTAGTTTACCCTGTTAAGGAAAGCATGAGCTTCATTTTAAGGTTGTTTTTCTGCTTGTTGGTTTATTTTTTTTTTTTAATTATTATTCTCATTTTTATTTGGAAACAACCAGATATTTGATTTTTGGACATAGATTCTTTTGTCCAGGTGTTAGGGAAGACACCGTCAGAGATGCAATGGTAACGTACCCAAAATGATGAAAGATACAGAGAGTATTGGCCAGGCAGCTCATTCTAGTGTTTTGTTGGTTAGTTTTTGTTTTTAAATACAAAAGCAAGAGGTTACTGGATGAAATTGAAGTGGAATCATTCTAACACTGACTGAAGAATATTTTCAAACAGTGCAGAATTAGCCTGAGGAGATGACTGAAGCAGGGAGCATCAAGACTCAGTGAAAGGCTAGGCACTCATGTAGGTACCAAACGAATTTGAACTGTTGGAGTAGTCAGGATTTATAAGCTTTCAAGAGTTTTTTGGGTCTGTTTTTAAATACTGATGATTAAAAGGGTGACTAATCCCTTGGAACTGTAAATGTGATTGTGGAAGATATGTTATGGTTTTTGTGGTATTCTCTGAATAAAATTAATGTGGATGTCCTGATAACACTGTATTTTAATACTGTGTCCTGAACCTGGAGAAAACAGCCTCACATAGCAGTTACTTCTTGTAAGCTTGCATGTGTATTTGAAAAATTGTAATAGTCTTGTTCCACTAAAGATATCAAACCATTGCCATGTATTTACGTTGAAAAGCAATTGAAAAATCCAGTGAAAACACTGTAGTAGCAAGATGAACAAATTCAAAGGTTCTATTTTTACAGGTTGGTAATAGATTAGAGTGCCTGGGGTTTATATAAGAAATAATAAGCAATAGCTGAACTATTCATTGCAGACAATGTATTGCTTACATTCTCACATTTAGTCTTTTCATAAAATGTTGGGGAAAATTGCCTTTGAACACACAGATTTGGTAAACTATACTGCATGAGCATATTTTAAATTAAATGTATGTCAAAATGCTGAAATGCTGCTTTTTAAGATAAAAGTTTTGGGAAATTACCTACTTGGAATCCTTATTTTTAGTCATGTAAGTCAATATGGCATTTGCTCGTCTTTATTACTTGCATGATGAAGTTTTGTACTTGTTTTTACATATGCACTTTTTAAGAATTCTGTATAATTTAAGAATTGCAATATCAATATCTAGCCTCCTCAGATAATCAGTCAAGTATATCCGAGCAAGCATTCTCTTTATGAACCATTTAATTTTTGTAAGTATAAGTTCCTCTATGAATAAAAGCTGCTAAAAAACTATTTTAAGTAGTGGAAAATGCTTGAAACATTTACAAATAGCTTTTCTCAATATTTTCTTCGCATTGCTTAAATTTAACTTTTGTGATACAGAAGAACCAACTAAATCAACAAAATGAAGTTGTCTTTTTTTTTTCTTTTTTTTTTTTAAAGTCCTATGGGCATTTTCATGCCTACCAGACTTTACTCAGATAGGCTGCACCAGGGGGCACTCACTTCCCAGTCTAATCAAAACAAGGGAGTTGAGTCAGACACTGAGCCTCTTTCTCAGAGGTGAGAAGTCTCTTATGTCTACATCTGTGTAAAATGCTGAAAATGTTCTTTTCCTATGATTTTGGGCAGTGTTAGTTGTTAGATTTCTGTCACCTGCAGCTGGAGAAGGCTGTGGAAATACATTCTCATACAGATTTTGTTAAAACTCTTCAGCAAAAATAGTCATAAAATAGCTAATGCTGCTTGAATGCTGCTTTGAGCATGCTGTGTGACAGATAGTGACTGTAGAAAATGCTAGAATTTCAAATTATACAAGGGATACAGAGAATTAAAAATTGTACAGTATGATGCACCAGAGACTGAGAATAAAAATTTTAGCATTCTATATTAGTTCTTCCAGGATGTTTAAATAAAACAGAAAACTTGAATTCCAGTAGAGTTTAAAATAGTTTACAAATTACAGAATGCCTTCATGTGGCAGGCTAAGTAGTGTATGCTCATCTGAAAAACATCAGTGCTTACCAGTTGCTCTGCATGGTGTGAATGTAAATGTGAAATACTCTTCTTTTTATCTCTTTTTTTTTTTTAAAATCTCTGTGCTGAGTGCAAGCAGTAACACCGTCACTTGAAGATTTAAATGTACTCATTAAATTGAAAAAGCTGTAATAATTTACAATCACTTCCTACTGCAGTGATAGAAGTTTATGAAGTACTTTGTAATGAGTTTTCCAATGCTTGTGTTTGGAAAGTGAGCTGTTTTGTACTGCATGGACAGAATTTTGGGCATTATTTCCAGCTTGACAATTGTGCTTGAACAGAAAAAAACACCAAGTGAATTTGATGACGAAAAAATTAACCTGTAAATAAACCTGGGCAGCTGATCTAATAGGAAACAAACTATAATAGTGAAACATGAATGGTGGAATAATGGTCAGTGGTGCTTGGTATTTCCAGCCGTACTATAGAGGAGGTAGTAATGATTCAGAGTGCTGTTTCTGAATGCGTAGGTGCAGCAACTCAAGGCAGTAAAGTACATCCTTTCACCTGTGTTCAAGCTTGCTTGAGATAATTAACGTTTTGAAAACAGCTTTCTTTTTTTTTTTTCTCACATGATTATATGTCAGAAATAACAGTAGCGTCTCAGGCAGTAGCCAAGTACAGTGCTCTTCTAGTGCAAAGCTGTTTCTGTCCTCATGCATTGGCATGTGCTGCGTTCTGAACCTGGGGAGGCATTTCTCTCTTGGGGCAGTCCCTGAGAGTGTCCACAGGAAACATCAACCACTGGAACCAGTTAAATCACGGCCTTCACTGGGAAGGTGTTATTGCAGACAGAAGATAGATTCCTTTCAGGGGACCTGGTAAGGGGTAGTGCAGGGAGGAGGAAGCAAGGCAGAAGACCTTCTCTGATGATGTTGAGCCCCAGCAGGTATAGTTAGTGGTCTGGTCTTTTCCACGTGGAAATAACTTTCTTTTGTTGCAATCTAATGTAATTACTTAGCTTATTCTGTGCTCCATTGCTACAGATGTCTGTTTAAAACTGCATTGTTATAAAATGATTTTATCTATTTAAAAAAAGAAAGACCCAAAAAAAAGGAAATTTCATTGTTAAAATTGCTAAAACTCTGAAGCTAAGAAATGCAAGAATTAGGTTTGCTGTTGGATTTTTAATTTGGCTTCCTGTCATGTAGTCTTGGTAGAGCCTTCTCTTAAATGATCAGATGCTATTTTACCACAAAATCCACTGTGT